TTCTAAATATGTATGTACAAACAAAAAAGTAATACCAATTCGCAATTATGCAATATAGAATATTTACAAATATACATATATTTTCTTTCGAAAAAATAGAATAACTTAATAATTGGAAAGGATAAAGTAGCGGTGTCTTTCAATTGACACAACAACATGAAAACATCTTCAATATCAAGTTGTTGGAAGAAAATTATTTTCATATCTTTTAATGATTAGCGAGATATATACGTACAATGCACGTACATAAAAACTAGTTATTATAAAAGCATGAATACAATATCGGTTTACAAACACAACCTTATAATATTAAGCATAATAACTCATAATAAAAGGAAATAACCTTAATTCTAGATATTAGCCTTAAAATCCTATTAGTTTTAGGACATAATACTACATGTTAGGAATCCTACATAATTACCTTTAGGAATCCTCTTAGTATAATTACTTTCAGTCTATTTAATTCATATAAAATTGAATAAGTAAATATCCTTATTCTTTAGTCATGTAATCCTATTACTTTGGGGATATACTTCTTAAAAATTCCTATTACTAATTTAATTCGAAAATGTATTATAATGTCCTATTACTAATTTAATTTGAGAATGTATTATATTATCCAAATCCATTTAGAAAAAAGGAGAGCCTATATTATTATAGAAGCATAAATACAATATTAATATATCAAAATAGCCCTAAAATACTAAGCGAAAGAACTCATAGGGAAAGGACATAACTACAATAACCTATTTTCTGGACTACAATACCCTCTTCGCTAATTTTTAATATTTAATATTTTAAAATTAATAAAATTTTGACTATTACATTCTTATTAAAATATGTAAGAAGGTTTAATAAAATCAATTTCATAAGAATCCTCTGTATTGGCAATACATTGCCACTCCATAATGTCCAATACCAAAAAAATAATATTAAATGAACTACATAAAGAGTTGAAATTGAGAAAAAATATCCCTACGATAATATATTTTTATATTATTTGAACGATTTTCCTACTCAATAATATTTTTCTATCAATTTTTCGTGTAATATTGAAAAATACTCAATTATTAAACAACAATTAAGAAAATATTTAAAAATATAAATGTGTGAGAAAGAGGAAAAAAATAGTTGGTAAGAGTCAATATCACTAATGATTCTATAAACATAAAGATCTAAAAGTGAAATGTCATATCAATCTTTTACTATTTGAAAATAAAATTTATATATTGTATAAAATTATAATTAAGATTAAATATTTAAAACAAGAGATGAACTAATATTAAGATCTGAATCAACATAGAATAAATTATTTTTATATTAAAATTAAATAATTAAATCTTTTAATTGATTATTTAGCAAGAGAATCTAATTAAATTATTTATTAAACTCATCATATGCGTAAAATTTCTATTCAAGTTAAACAAAATCTTAGGATACATAACTTTATTACATAAAAGGTGCCTTAGAGCACAAAATAAAAATATTAGTATATTATTAAGAATCAAAATGCTATACAGGTGTCTGAGGAAGCGCAATCAAAGCTAAATTCTAATCAAGAACAAGCTTTCAATACTATATTATAGAGAGTCGACTCTGGTATAACAGGATTGTTCTTTGTAAATGGGTCCGGCGGATCGAAATAATATTTTTATGTCATACATTACTTGCAAATATCATATCAAGAGGCATGACACTGTTAGCAATAATAGCAAGTGGTGTACCAACAACGATTTATTGTGAAGCCACACACTTTAAATTTGATATACCTCTTCAAACAACTTAAATAACCATCACAAATATATCAAAGCAGAACAATGGTGCTGAATTTATAAGGAAATTAGAATTGATAATTTGAGATGAAACACTTATGGCAAAGTGTCAGACGATCGAAATTAATGGTTTGGGAGGTGATTTCTGTCAAGTACTACCAGTAGTTTCAAATCGACAAAAGCAGAGACTGTAAAAGCTAGCTTGCCAAAGTTATACTTCTGGCTTCAAACGAAAAAGATTTAACTGACAAAAAATATAAAGTAAGAACAGATTCAATATTCAGTGTCTTCTTGCTTTGTGTTGGAAACGAATAAGAGCATCCAATAAAGGATGATTTGGTCTTTCCTGAACACTTGCTTATTAATCCCAATGGTAATAGTAGTGCATTTAATAAGAGAAATATTTATATCATTAGATTAAAACGTAATTTGTGCAAATTGCATGATGGAGTTAAAAAGATATCTTAGCTAGCAGAAATGAATATGTTGATCAACTAAATAAAAGGTTGATTGCAAAATTTAATAATAAAAATAAAATATTTTTCAGTTTTTACTCAGCAGAAAATGATACCAGTAATTACTACGAAGAAGAATATTTAAATACTTTAATACCAAATAACCTTCTACCATTCATGTTTGTTGTGAAGTTTATTATTTCTCACGTATGTTAGTGTCACCGTATATATAATAGACTAAGTTAAAATTGATCTTCCATTGTATATAGGTTAATTTTGAAAACAAATATGTCCGCCATGCTACTGAAAAAATTAGATACGCCGAATAACTTATGTAATAGCATACATATGATATATAGAAGCTTTGATAATAATGTCATACATACAAAAATTATGATACTGGTCAATGTGCTTCTAAGTATATTCTTATCCCTTAATTCAACTTTCGGCTTCCGAAACTAAGGAATATCTTTTTAAATTTGTGTGAAAATATTTTTAGTATGTTTATGTTTTATAAATATAACAAATAAAGCACAAGGACAAACATCCTAAATATTGAACTATATTTACCGCAATATGTTTTCTTGCACGAACAACTGTATGTTGCACTTTCAAGAGGGATATCAAGATCAACAACAAGAGTTTTGGTTAAGGCAGAGCAACCAAAGCATTAGGAGGAAACATACACAAAAAAATATTGCCCACAAAGAAGTGTTAGTTAAGATACTATCACATTAAATACTTTTAAACTATAATATATAATTATCTAAATAACATGACAAAACTGATTATGTTAATGTAATAATATTTTTCGATATTTAGATAATTATTGTATTATTATACATAAATTTCTCTTATTAATTAAACTAGTAGTCGTACCCGCGCGATGCGCGGTCAATATTAAAAAAAAATTAATTAAATTAAATTATGATCAGGCTTGTTTGATCCTATTAGATCGTATTGCTTTAATAAAATTCAATTGTCATCTTGTTTGTCAATACGATATACCCAATAATGAAATCTCTATTAAATCAAACGTACTTATATAGTCAGTGAATAACTTTTTTGTTCTATTTTTCTTTATTATATTAAACAATATTTAGTATTCGCTTTCTTTTTGTAATATATGAGAAGATATATAATTTATTACTATTGAATTTTTTTTATTTTAAATTTTATTCTGTTGTTCTTAATAATATTATCTAAATTTTAGTGAATAAAATCTATGTTAAACTAACGGGACTTATACAGGCAGTGCATCGAATAACGTTTTTGTTATGTATTTTTCTTTATTATATCTTTCAATATTTAATACTATTACTTTGTTAATAGAAAGTCATTAGCATATTACGTTATTTAATATTTTTCTCTGAAGTTTTTTTTATTACTTTTTTTATGTTTTTTTATTTTTAAATAATTTTAAAACTCCAACTTAAAACTACTCCCCAATTTGAATTGGTAATTTATTATTTTTTTATTTTTGTTTTTTATATTAAAATTATATTAAAA